CCCGTACGAAGGCGGAACAGGCCATTAGTTGTTTTATATAGTTGACTAGTATATATATATATATATATATATATATATATATATATATATATATATATATATATATATATATATATATATATATATATATATATATATATATATATATATATATATATATAATAGATAGTAGACTAAATGCAGTTTAACATTTGCATACATCTACAGGGTGCTGCATGTTATGCACCTATTTTTTTTTTCAATGCATGATTAATGGTACGGTAATCCCGCCTGCGCTAACGGTATACGCTGGCGGGGCACCAGTGAAGCATGATAGATGAATAATGAAAAAAGCAGGTCAGTCAGCCCATCGTGATGAATACACCTGGAACTCAACACGATAGTTTCCACGGGGAAACGCTTGGAGGTCAACCTGACCGGGTATATTGCTAGCAATGGGACTAGTAGCCCGCATTACTAACGATCCCTTCCCCCCATTATGTACCTATTTGTGTATGTAACATTTTACTATGTAGCAAGTAAATAAATTTGATTTGATTTAATATGATTCTAACTCGTATGTACGGAACCCTCGCATCGTGAGTCCGTTTCCACTTGACCAATTTTATTTATTATTACAAACTCATTGGTCCGAAACATGAACTAATTCTTTTCAGGGCACTGAATGGGCATTCAACATCTTGACAAAGGACCTCATTCCGGTCTCCCCTGTGCCTATGCCGTGTCAGCTTTGTAATTTCAAGGGCGGTGTAACCGTTTTAATATTGTACATCTACTTATTTAGAATTCAACCAGTTTTTATACAAAGGATTTTTAAAACCCCAATTCAAATGACGTTTTAAGCTCGGTGAGCTATGGAGAGGACTATGCTCGGTGTTTCTTTGCGTGATAGAATCCGAAATAAGGATATCTGCAAAAGAACCAAGTTACCGACATAGCTAACTGACGTGCCTTTTTCATTCTCATCTATCATGCCTCACTGGTGCCCCGCCAGTGTATGCCGTTAGCGCAGGTGGAGTTACCATTGCATTATCGTCTATTACTGTATTTTTCTGGCAATAAATATTTTTGTTCTATTCTATTCTATTTTAAAACTTACAACGGGATTAGAAGATAGAATTTTGCACGTTCCTCGCAAGAAATTCGCTAAGTGTCAATATGTGTGTGTGTGTGTTTCAACCGTGAAACAGTTGTGTTTGCATAGCTGTGTTTCGGTTTGAAGGGTGGGATATGGCGTAAATTTACTGGGTACAGAGGAATAACACCTGAGTCCTCAGGAATGGCAACGCATGGGGAGTATCATGGGCGAAACAGTATACTCTGTTATGCCCTGATACTGCTCATGTCTATAGGTGACGGTTACCACTTTTCATCAGGTAGTTTGCCATTTGTATAAAAAAAATGTATAAATATTGGTGTGCGTAAACGCATGTTTATATATTTAAGAAAGAGATAACTAGAATAAATAGGTAGGTTTAAATTTAAACTAATCAGTTAACTCTTCACATAGTCGATGTCATAATGTTATCACTTATCGTTAAAATAAGTACAGTTAAAAACATAATAAAAAAGAAATTAATGAATGAGGTGGTATGGTAAATTTAAAACTATATTTCGTCTTGTCTTTACACACACAAAATGGGCTACAGAATAATACAAGACCAATTTGGACGAGAATATATATGTTGTAAGAGAAACCCGAGTAGGTAGGTATCTCTCTAAATAAGGACTTCTGAGCAGCATGATGTATCTTTGATGAGATCCAAAAAAAACAATCTTGACATCCAAATTTGTAGCTTATGTAAACATAAAAATAATTTAAAATTCTATTCCACCAAAAAGCTGATTCAATGTTTTTTTTTTGCAACTTATAATGGCAAACAAGCTGACGGCCCACCTGATGGAAAGTGGTAACCGTCACCTATAGACATGAGCAGTACCATGGACATAGTATACATTGTCATATATATACATACGTTGCCATTCCTGAGGACTAAGGTGGTATACCTCTGTACCCTATAATTTCACTGCCATATCCCACCTTTCATACCGAAACACAGCCGTGCAAACACAACTGCTTCGCGGCAGAAACACGAATGGGACAGAGGTACCCAAACAAACGACTTTTGTACAATGTCTCCCTCTGGTAATTGTTCTAACTAGTTATTTTTAAAAACTAAGCTACCGAACCGATAGAATTTGATGGAACTAATATGAAAGTATATCAGGATTTATTTTTTAAACTAGTATATAACTGACGGAGTGATGAGGTAACAAACATAAAAAAAACACCAAATTTTTACGTTCCCCTTTTTTTGAAATGATACAAAAATTATATAAAATGTGAACATCATGTTTCAATAAAATTATTAAATGTCGAACTTTCGAAGCGAAAGGGACCGAACCTACACCATCTACGTCATGCCGGGGCAGTACTCTTACCACTAGACGCTCGTCCGGAAAAAATACGGGAGTTCAACCTCATACCCTACAGACTAAATGGTCGCGTATTCGCGCAGTTTCAAAGATGTTTTCTCCCACGAACCTCGGTTACGGAATGAGCTCCCTGCCGAGGTTTTCCCAAGAGACTACAGCATGGAGTTCTTCAAAAGGGAAGTAAGGAGGTTTTTTCAGGGCCGGCAACGCAATACCCCTGGTATTCATAGGCTACAGGTGTTCATAGGCTACGGTAGCCACTTACCATCAGGTGGGCCATTTGCTTGTTTGCCACCACAGTGGTATAAAAAAAATACTCAGTAGAAAACAAGCATACGAGCATATGAAACTATGACGAAATTAAACCTTAATTACAGCAAAAATAATTATTAATAGTACCTAAACAAACAAGTATGGTAAAATGAAAAACCTCTAATGACATGACTGACGGATTGAAATGATAATGACGTACATATAAATACGTATAGACACGCTCACGGCTACGATCCCTGTCAGAATTATCAATAAACATCCATCTACCGTTGTTGTGATAAACATAACTCGTCTTGATAGGCATTTTTTTTATACAACTTAGAATGGCAAACAAGCTGACCTGATGGAAAGTGGTAACCGTCGCCTATAGGCATGAGCAGTACCATAGACATAACAGAGTATACTGTTTCGCCCACGATACCCCCCATGCGTTGCCATTCCTGAGGACTCAGGTGTTATTCCTCCGTATCCATTAAATGGGTACGCTGTCATAACCGCTTACCATCAGGCTGGACGTATGTGTATTTGCCAATTCAGTAGTATAACATTAGTATTTCATCATCATATCATCAAACTGTCTAATGCTGAACATAAGTCTCCTCTTTTTTTTTGGTGGATGAAAATGGAATGGTAACCCCCCGCCTGTGCTAACAGGATACGCTGGCGGTGCACCAGTGAAGGGTGATAGATGAGAATGAAAACAGGCCAGTTAGCCCATCACGATGAATTCATCAGGAATTAACCATGATAGTTTCCAGGGGAATCCGCGAGGAGGTCGACCCGGTTGGGTATATTGCTAGCAATTGGATTTTTAGTCTCCATTACTAACAATCCCTTTCCCCCCTAAGCCTCCTCTTTGGGAGGTTTTGCTAATAGTTGCCCATCCCTCGCCCTTCCTTAATCGCCTCTTATGACACCCACGGGAAAGAAAAGGGCAACCTATTCTATGCCGGAACACACACGGGACAATATTACATTTATTTATATTTTATTGCACGACTTACAAAAGTAACAAATACAGAGAATTTTACCAGAGGGAGAACTTATACAAAAGTCATTTGCTTGGGTGTCTGTGTGTGAATATATATTAAATATACTCCAATTTGATTTATTAATTAATTTATCCTTTATTGATCAAATTTTTTGGTAGAAAATGCTACATATATAGCATTCTCTCGCAAAAGTATGTACAAAAGTCGATTGCTTGGGTACCTCTGTCCCATTCGTGTTTCAACCGTAAAGCAGTTGTGTTTGCATGGCTGTGTTTCGATTTGAAGGGTGGGATATGGCGTGAATTTACAGGGTACAGAGGGTATAACACCTGGGTCCTCAGGAATGGCAACGAATGGGAGGTATCATGGGAGAAACTATACTCTGTTATGTACATGGTACTGCTCATGTCTATAGGCGACGGTTACCAATTTCCATTAGGTGGACCGTCAGCTTGTTTGCCATTCTTAGTTGTATATAAGTACAGTGAATTTTAAAGTGAGAAAAGACTGCCTTATCGCTGAGCAATCTTATCCAGCCAACCCTTTATTGAAGAATATTAAAAAAAAAAGACAAAGGGTAGGTGTTAGCACATTGATATATATATATATATATATATATATATATATATATATATATATATATATATATATTTCATGTCTACTATTATCACTCTCCATCAGATATTATTAGTAATCGCTTATAAAAAAAGTCCTGTCTCTTCCTGTAGTCATATAATGGCATTTTTTGCCCCACATCATCTGGACATAAGGCAAAAACTGACATTTTAGACTCACATGTGTCGCTGGAACGAACAACACGTGCGTCTATTTGGTTAAAATAGTTTTATTTATACTTACATATAATTTAAGCGTTCGAAAATAAAATAAGAAATAAAAAAAAAAATAACTGAAAGATGTCGTAACTGGGTTCGCACAAACTGAGTTTAGCGATTACATAATATAGCATTGTAATAATTAAACAACCCGGTTACCATATCCGCCATTTACCCTTGGTTCAATTAAGACCACAGTTAAATTCTGTTCCATCTATATGTATGTAATACATAACCAGTATATGTAAACTAAATTTTATTTTAAGAACGTATATTTTTCTTAATAAATTTTCATACTGCCAGTATTAAACAGAATGGCCAGCAATAGGCTCGTTTACGGCGTCCAATTCCGTTCAGTAAAATGTAGACATGTGAAGGACTACATTCATTACAACGGAAACAGTAAACAAATGCCTCTGACTACCCCACTAGGGGGTTATCGGCGTGAGCATACTTTTTAACTCACCCCATCTCTTAGGCGTTCGACCCAGGAAACTGCCTTCAGCGGGATCGTACACAATTTTGGCGCATCTTTGCCACAGCGGTCCCGACGGTGGGGGCGCTCGTATCCACTCTTCCGCATTTGTATTGGTCATTATATTTTATGTAACTAATAACCTACGCGATAGTACATGTAAATTTCACGAACTATTTATTCGCGACGTCTGAGCATGCGTCCGGTGTCGCGAGCTATTCTGGAATGACTGAATGGCTGTGCGCTGTGCGGTGCGCGTACGCATCCGTGCTTCTATATGGAAGACTATAATAAAATCGTAAAGCCAAAGGTGAATAGTGATCGATTTTGTCGAATGCAAATTTTAAACGACTTCATAAACTAGAATATACATAATCAAACTGTATTTTTTGTATTTTATATTGTAAAAAAATTTTACTTTTACGTTATACGTAATTTGCAACCGATTTTGAAAATTCTATTTCTCAACCGCAAGACTTAACTCCCATATATATTTTATGAATATTGAAGTTTCAACGTCCTGAATGATAACATGACAATTATAGTATAGATCAGGGGGTTCCCAAACTGTTTTTGTTTCTTTTTTTTACTGCCCTTTATTACTTTCTTATTTTTTTATTGCTACTATTTTTTATTTTGTCTACTGCCCACTTTGACTTTAAAAACCACTATTACTTCAAGATCAACAAATCACCCCCCAAGCCTCTACACAACGCCCCCATTTTCTTTCTGGGTCTCTTACCGCCTCCTTTAGGCCTGCAGCGCCCACAAGGGGGCATTATGGCCCACTTTGGGAAAGGCTGGTATAGATAGTATTTGTTTGTTTAATTTTGTTTATATTTGTTTATTTTTGTTTAATTTAGTATTGTCTAATTTTGTGTTTCATTTACTTGTATTTTATTTTGTGCAAATTCTAATGGCTACCAAATTACTATTTGAATATATAATTATGTATTGTTTTAGCTGTTTGTTTGCCTTAAATAAATAAATAAATAGATCATTCTAGCAATAGTCCACAATATACACGATGCGGTTTACGATTTTATTTTATTAAATTATAAAAGAAATAAAACAAAATGAATATATATCTTAATTTTATTGCATAGAAAACACATAAAAGGCACAATATCGACGCTTGTTATGATGTATCACACAGATCAATTACATTTAGATAGAGCTGCTCTCTATAAACGCTTCGCCAAAAACGCCCAACATATTCTTGTGTAAATAAATTTTGTTACATAGACCATAAAATATTATAATAAAAGAATATTCATTTCAAACACACCAAAAATTAAAATTGGAGATGATTATTTGACGACGTGGTAACAACATAATATTTCTATGTGTGTTGTCAGTGTTCGGTTAATTTTAATTAGTTTTCGAACTGTACAACGTTAAAAAAAATCAATGCAGTCAACAATGACACTGTTCATCGAGTGTGTTTAAACGGGGATATTAAATTAAAAATTATAAGACTCCCAACAGTTAGTTGAACGTTGTTGGTACGTTTTTCTAGTCACGAAATGCTCAATCTAGACATACGTACATGGTTTAAACAGTAAAATTATGAATAAAATTAATTTTACGTATATATTTCAATTTCTTTTCTCTGTAATTGTTTCACTTTTCTCTAGATGTATTGTATCTATGTATTTATTTGCCTTTTTTGAATTTTTAAATGATACATCACAATTGGCGCCAAAATATTAACTTATACACTGGTACACATTAACACTATTTAAATTATAAATACGGAATACAGAAATTACTCTTGGACGGCAATAATATTATTATAATAAAATAAAAAATTGTTGGACGGACAATCGAGTGGTACATTGTTTCTGAGCGAATATCTTTTCTCTGAAAAAAAGTCGCAAATTAATATTATCTAGATGGAGTCTCCCTACAAAACAAATACTTCGATAAAAACTGTCCATCATTTTTATTTCTAGTATTAGTGAATTTATATAATAAATTTCATCCTTATTGACATACGAGATATATCAGTGCGTGCATGAAAAAATATACCAGAAACATTATAATTATTATATACTGGCAACACCAAAAAATCTCAAACTTTTGTTTTAAATAAAATCAAGTAGACAGTTAACCGCTTATTTTTAAGACGTCTTTTGATACTGAACGCTCCATCTAGATAATAATATATGGTCTCTTAAAATATATACTCATAGTATTGATTCATTACTTCATTATATAATCAAAGGCACTTACAACTATCTATAGGCGTGAATTTATTGGGTACAGAGGAATAACACTTGAGTCCTCAGGAATGGCAACGCATGGGAGGTATCATGAGCGAAACAGTATACTCTGTTATGTCCATGCTACTGCTCATGTCTATAGGCGACGGTTACCACTTTCCATCAGGTGAGCCGTCAGCTTGTTTACCATTCTAAATTGTATAAAAAAATCTATAGTTGCCAAAGATACTACTCTACTAATTTACACTAGTTTACTTTTTTAATTGTAACTAGTTTTGGATCACTAGCTACAATTTACAAATAGCAACACCAATTGCTAATGGCAGTGCTATAAAAAAAATATATATACTGGTCACTGGAAAATAAATGCAATAATATTCTTGATTTTTAATTAAGAATTTGTTTTATATGAAGTAATGTTATTATATATTTACCTTAGATTTAATAGATAGAGTGTATCCATAGAAATACTTCGAGAAAAACGTGCCAACCTCTTCATACAATTTTGCGTGATAAATAGTTATGAGTGATTCCTTTATGACTTCTATATTTATTTTGTCTCATATATTCTGCACCTTTTTAATGCTTAAACACTCATTTTATTTATTAAATAATATGTCAAAATACATTTTATGCGTAAGTATATTGGATACTAATAAAAAAGGTCATCTAATTTGACAATTAGCTGACAAAAAGTGGGATCGTTTTTGAGGCTCGATGCTCTATCTATATAATCTAAGATATTTAAATACTACGGTCAATGTAAGCAATTTTATCAATACATATTTGTATAAAAATATAGTAGGTATATGAATAAAATATATTTTAATGGATAAGTAAAGTCAGTCTTAGAGTTATGATACTGAGATTCGGTGCAGGACGTAATTGCTTAACCTGTATTGCGTCTGTATAGACCATCGGCGTATTTAGTGGTGGGGCCGGGTGGGCCGTGCCCACCTCAGAATCGTCTAGTGCCCACCTCAAGATGCAAGCAAATACATTTTTAAAATAACTTTTTCTCAAACATGCTTGGAAATGTGAGCATTATTTTTACAATCTTCTTTGAGATAAATCAAAATTTCCGTACTGGCCAGATACATGCGGGCAGCGGCCGGCAAAAGCTGTATGAAAATCCATATCTGTCGTGTTTTGAGGCCAAATAAATTACTATGTAAACTCATATCTGTCCTGTAATTTAAAAATGGAATGACCTTTTACTTCGAAACATGCCTACCAAGGAGGTAACTAATACAAGGTTTTATTTAAATTTCGAACTGGCTTGCAAATAGAAAGCTGTTTATTGAAAAAAAAAAAAAAGAAAATATTAGCGCGAATGAAAAATTATTATTGTTCGTCATTGAACTTAAAAAATAATATTGTGTTTTTGATTTCCGCGCATTGTTTGAGAAAAGTACTATACAAGCCTTGGCCACAACTAGGCATTGGTGGACTCACGTATGTGTGCCTCGGCTACGTCTCGGCCCACAATTGCACGTTCGTCCATCAATGCCTCAGTCGCTGGCCGCTGCAGTACTATTAATATACGCCAATTGTATGGACGGATGTAAGTACTTAATATCTATGCAAGAAATGATATGTTACATACATATATCTATATAATTATCTGTGATTAATATATAATAATAATTTTTAAGACATATAGAAAAGACTAACAGAGGGCCAAAGCCATTTTTGACTGTGATTTCTCATTTTTTTTTTATTATATCTACAGCCCTGAATATAAAAAATAAAATCTATGTTTAATACAAATGCCAGTATTGATAGAAAAAAATACCACTTTTTTATTAAAAAAAAATTAAAACAAAAATAAATAAAGGACAAGAGAGCTTCAATTGATCAATTTCATTTAAATCATGGGAATCTCGTAGCATAAATATTAAAACATAGTTGCCATATTTAAAATAAGTTGATATACAACATTGCATTGAATATGTTAAAAACCGTTTGTTTTGTTCTATCTTATATAGATAATAAAAATTAATCGCAAATTGCGTTACTAACCGCGAACTTGATAACAGCGGAACCAATTCAGTGACTTTTTTTCAAACATTTGTTAAAATCCCAGGATGGTTTTTATTTTATTTTTCATTAAAGAAAAAACAAACAGCTATAAAAATTCATTATAAAAAAATTTATGAAAAGAAAAAACTGGAAAAATTGTCCGGAAAATGTAAAAGTCCATTTTTCTTTTTCCATAAACTGTTCCTAGTTGCAATATTTTCTTTTTTTTTTACAGAACATCTGTTATGTCAGCTACTAATAATATTTTAAAATAATATTACATTGCAAATAAAAATAAATACAATAAATATAAATGTATTAAATTCTTTTTTCTGTGCTGTAAAAAAGTTTACTTTCATTCTAAATAATCATAGACAATAAAAAAAAAATTGTATCAAAGTCTTATATCTATGGCTCGGAAGAAGTACTTACACAATAACCGTAATCTTATAGGTACTTATTGCTCATTATAAAATACATAAATTAACACTAAAATGCAGTGTTATGTTACGATTAAAAAAAAGATTTATCTACTTTATAATTATTATAAGTACACTACACATGAAAAAGATATAGGCTACCTCTTAAAACTTATAAAAACGGTGGAAAATTAAAAATTATTAATACGCAAATAATGCAAGTCAGCTTTATAAATATTAACAAAATTGAATAAAGAACAATTGTCTATTGTTGAACATCCTATTAGGATAATCTATAAAGAATTACATAGAAGGAACGATAAAATAAAAAATGTAAATCATGGAAAATGTCATACGGCCGTATAACCCTACCAAATTCAGATACAACCTGCTTGCATACTTTCTACATAAACTGTGTCGAATATATAATATAGTAATGTAACATTTGTCATTGACAAATAATTGATATATCAAACATTTTCTATACACTAGTCTAGTATGAATTAAGAAAAACAGCAACTGATGGTGTATCTCTCGTCCTCTTTTTACTAATTATATTTGCATAAGAATAAAGGAGGCAACCATATGATTTACAGTTTTTATTTTTACCATTCCTACTATGTAATTCCTTGTTCTTAGAAACCTATCCTGCTATAGACTCTCTTCTAAATACAAAATCCTTTATAATTCTCTGTCATAACTGCGGACTGCTTTATATGTAAATGTGTATTCATTTACTATATTAATTTATTATTATACGATACCTTACCTGTTCTCTTTCGACTCTCCTGATCCTGTAATCCTATACCTAAATTTTCTGGGAAATCGAAGTGGAACAAAACAGGAATATATCCTGTTTTGTTCCACCTCGATTTCCCTGGTTTTGAATTAAACTTGAAAATGGCTAATTGCTACCCTAAAAAGCCGAAGTCAAAAGAAGAAAAAAAAACTACGAACCGTAAAGACATAATTTTAAAATTAGAATTATTAAATTTATACCTCTTGAGTATTTTCAAGCAATCAATCTTCTATTTGCATAAACATATATAGATATAGTTATAAATTTGATGTTGTAGAAATGTAGTGTGCTATGTTTCACCATCATAGGGTTTACAAATTTTTTACTCATTGCTAGTTAGTTTTAATAAAATATTACATTTGTGTTTAAATTACCCTCTCAGCTGCCACACAATAAATATATTATGATATATATATAACTACATATTTCGCCGTGTAATCCTCCTGGAATATAATGGGCTATTCCTTCCTACCCCATGGATGTCATCAGAAGCAACTAAAAGTACAGAGGAATAACATCTGAGTCCTCAGTAATGGCAACGCATGGCAGGAATCATGGGCGAAACAGTATACTCTGTTATGTCCATGGCACTGCTCATGTCTATAGGCGACGGTTACCACTTTCCATCAGGTGGGCCGTCAGTTTGTTTGTCATTCTAAGTTGTATATAAAAAAAAGCTGACGGCCCACCTGATGGAAAGTGGTAACCGTCGCCTATAGACATGAGCAGTACCGTGGTATGACGATAAAATTACATATTAGCATATTTATAAAGCTGACTGTACACATTAAAACTAAATATTAAAAATAATTATACTATTTATAATTAACCATTGTTATTCAGATGCATTGACTTAACAATTAAAAATTTCCCTTTCCCCCCTGATCATTGTATTGGGATTGAACTCATAACAATCGGAAGGTAAATTGGTGTAACGAATCACTAGAGCACCAAAATCGATCTATTTAAGTAACAAAAAATAAAAGTTTACAATAATTTTAACCTAATATACCATTCCAAAATAAGCCGCGTATAATCCGTGACATTTACAAATAAATAATGAGTTTATAAGTTTGTATTGTGTTTTGTTTCTTTGATATTATTGCTCTAGGTACGGTATGTTAGTAAAAAGGCTTCGTTTAGTAAAAAGGATTTGCGAATACGCAATATCCGCTCATAATTTTCAAATAAGCAAATAATACAAATTACCTGCTAAAAAAAAAAAATTAATGTAACATGAATTCTTACTCTATGCAAAGAATCACTGTTCGTATCCGGTATGGTGGGTCTAGAAACGCTCGAGGTAAGGCGGAAGTGCAATTTGACGATGCACTATTATCGGTTGCTCAACGGCGGAATAGACAATCCTGCAACTCTCAGCCGTTGTTCTCTGTACGCACCCCAACGCTGCATGCGACTGCGCGCGTGTCGACTACTATCGGCGCCGCCGGCTCGCACCTGTACTGCTCAGTTCGCTCCCACTTATCAGGCTATTTCTCTGCTCAATTCTCTGATTGCTCAGCAGCCAGATATTGACATATTTAATGACAAAATAGATATATTTTTAAAATGTTGTACAAAATTTGTAAGTTTGTAAAATAAAACTATGGCTCACTACACGTTTTGGGAAACTGTAAGTGTGGTGAGTAAATTTTAAATAAATAAATAAATAAAATCTAGTCTGTGGGAAACTGGCAAGGACAAACATATTTAAATAGCCAACAGTAACACGCCAACAGACTTTACTGTTAGCTGTTTCATTTCATTTTGAGGAAAGGTAATGAGGTGGTAATATCACTAAGATTTGCTCCACCATTGGTCGCCTATTGCTTTTCTTATACTTAAAAGCGCCATTTGAGTTCGCAGAGCAAAATCCTATTTGTAGCGGAATCTGTCCACAAATACAGAATTCCGTGTTCAAATATTTTCAATCTAATGTGTCTACAAAACATGGACCAAAAGATACATGTTTGCCGAGTTTTCCACACCCCGGACATTTCGTACAAAAACGTCCATGCTTGTCACAACTACAGACACAAGTAACGTCTTTACAAGTGACAGTGTGTGCGTGTGTAGTTAATAAAGTTGGACGCTGTCGAATGTTTGACAGACGGCGAGGAGAGATCGCAGCGGACGGCAGGCAGTACCCATACTGTACTTTATTACTACGTATACTGTATTTTTACTATATTACCTCAATATGCTTCTAGATGACAACACATTTAATTCTTCACTGAGTTAGGATTCATATTACATTACAGGCACACTTTGGCTTCATTATTGCTTCTACTCAATCATAATTTCAAAATGGACGACACCTAACCGTTCCCGCCTGTCGTACTTGATGTTCCTCGCCCACGCGCGGCACTCTATGTTGATCACTATACCAGCTGGAAATTAAAAATAAAATGTTAAAAATCTTACCAATATATCATATATACCAGGGGGAGACTTTGTACAAAAGTCGATTGCTTGGGTACCTATGTCCCGTTCGTGTTTCAACTGTAAAGCAGTTGTGTTTGCATGACGGTGTTTTAGTTTGAAGGGTGGGATATGGCGTGAATTTACTGGGTACGGAGGAATAACAACTGAGTCCTCAGGAATGGCAACGCATGAAGGGTATCATGGGTGAAACAGTATACTCTGTTATGTCCCTGGTACTGCTCATGTGTATAGGCGACGGTTACCACTTTCCATCAGGTGGGCCGTCAGCTTGTTTGACATTCTAAGTTGTATAAAAAAAAAATAAGAATTATATCACCAAACATGTATTAATATAAGTATAATTTCTTGTCAATACTCACTCATGGGTTTCATCAAATGTATAGCAACTAATGGACTCAAATAGCCCTCGGCGTTCTGATACGGGTAGAAGTACCCGGGGAATCCGGGGTTGGGCAGATACTTTATTGGTCCTATGTTCTCCTTGTCGGCCGGCGTCTCGCCATAGCATGATACCCACACCTGAATTTAAAATAATTAATGTCACTATTAGACAATGAACATGGGTAAAGGCCCGTATGATCCAATTCATGATCTGTGGTCTAATTTTACCTTTATGGGAGTCATAAATGTGAAAATAGACCATAGATAGTAGATTTTTTTTTTAATACAACTTAGAATGGCAAAAAAGCTGACGGCCCACCTAATGGAAAGTGGTAACCGTCGCCTATAGACATGAGCAGTACCATGGACATAACAGAGTATACTGTTTCGCCCATGATACCCCCCATGCGTTGCCATTCCTGAGGACTCAGGTGTTATTCCTCCGTACCCAGTAAATTCACGCCACATCCCACCCTTCAAATCGAAACACAGCCATGCAAACACAACTGCTTCACGATTTAGACCACAATGGGTGCTAGATCTCTTTATAATTTTTATTATTCTCTTGTATAAATAATCTACTGATAATTGTAGCAAAACTATAAGTATATATTTTTACTTTTTACTTGGTGCAATAAAGTGTAAATAAATAAATATATTTTATTTTTTATTAACATGTATATGTGGTAAAAATAAATATAGTATCTTCGTTTGCATGACTATATTTCCATTTAAAGGGTGAAATCATCAGCCTTGAATTGTCCACTGCTGAACATATGCCTCCTCCTTGGGAGGGTTTGCCAATAGTTGCTACGCTTGGCAGGCAGATTGCCAACCGCAGTTAGGCTTTGGAGATATTTTAAGAGGGGCGCTGCTGTCCATCCCTCGCCCTCCCTTGGCCGCCTTTACGACACTCAGTGGAAAGGAATGGGGAGACCTATTCTTTGTTGAGAACACACGGTATGCTGCGGTAAAAGGGTCTATTCAAACATATAAACAAGTTACTATTTCCAGCCAAATGGGCCATCAGCTTGTTTGCCATTATATTCCAAGCTATTTATAATAAAATTAAAAAAAAAAACCAACATAGTTCCTGTAGAGAGGGTTGGTCGTATTCTTGATATGCCATTGCAGGTCCAGAGGCATCTCAGCTGGTAAGTTCTGGGTGTCGTTGTAATACTCTGGCCGCCAACCATATATTCTGAAATTTACATTGTTAATAACACAGTTTAATAAGATATTTTTTTATTATTATTTTTATTATTACCAGAGGGAGACTTTGTATAAAAGTCGATTGCTTAGGTTTCTCTGTCTCATTCGTGTTTCAACCGTGAAGCAGTTGTATTTGCATGGCTGTGTTTCGGTTTGAAAGGTGGGATATGGCGTAAATTTACTGGGTACAGAGGAATAACACCTGAATCCTCAGGAATGGCAACGCATGGGGGAAACAGTATACTCTGTTATGTCCATGGTACTGCTCATGTCCATAGGCAACAGTTACCTCTTTCCATCAGGTGGGCTATCAGCTTGTTTGCCATTTTAAGTTGTATAAAAAAAATTCTTTTCAAATAAATAAATTCAAGAATCAAATATAATGGAAAAAGGAATTGTTAGTAACAAGAATTTGCAACCCCACTGCTAACTTTTCTAACTAGGGCGGAAGATATTATAAGTAACGAGGACTGCCAGTTCCATTGCTAGCAAAATAGCCTATCAGGTCAACCTCCACCTTGTTCCCCCCCCCCCTGAAAACCATCATACTAAATTCCAGATGTATTCACCATGATGGGTTAACTGATCTGCCTTTTCATTCTTACCTATCATCCCTCACTGGTGCGATATCGAGAGCGTACACCGTTAACGCAGATGGGGTTGCAATTCCAGTATCACCCATAAACAAAAAATTGTTATATCGACTTCACTCACATTTTTAATTCGAGGACAAGTGAATACAACATAAATAATAACAAGATCCAAAATATAACATGAAACCTTACTTGTTAACTTTGAGAAATATACAGGGTGAGGACTTGTGGTAGGAGAAATGATTCTCCTGTATGCAGGGCGCCCACGAGCCGACGTCCAGGTCGCACACCTTGCCAGGCGGCGGTAGCTTGTCGAAGTCGCAATCGAAGATGTTCTGGCCGGCGCCAGCTGTTTGACCCTTCTTTTTGTACACTGCAACAGAATGTATTAATTATTTCAATAGATCATAATACTTATATAGATAGATAGATAGATAAATAATTTATTTGCATTACTTACAGCACACAAACAACAATAGACATAAATGCACAGTTAAAAAAGATAAAAAAAAAATGTACAAAAAACAAAAACAAAATGCTTGAAATAACTAAAAATTTTTTCCCATCACGCGTGTGCCACAGTAACACAAAATGGTCACAACTCAGCTTATTGCTTCGCTTTAAAAAGAACAAAACACTGATATTCTGTTGTGGCCAAAAGTGAGCCGCAAAAAAAAATAGTATGACATAATTTGTACTTTATTATTAAATAGCAATGACATTGAATTGAATCTAATGTATTGTTATTGATTTATTTTTAACATACTATTATAACTTTATTATTATTAATCGAATGAATAATTGATGTAGTGTTAAGTAACTTATATGTATGTATTAAATGTAATGTAACTAGTACCTAGCCAATAATGAATTTGCATGCTTTAAACTATAAGGCAAACATTTGTACTTTACAATAAATCAATATCTGTAAAAACAATGTTCAAATAAATCTATCTATCTATCTATCTCTAGTAACTACATGCATATAATCGAAATACATAGCATCCTATTCACTTCTCCAACTTAAATTATATGTGTACAAAAAAAAATTCATTAAAATCAGTTTTGCAGTTTCAGAGAGATAAATAATAAACTTATATAACATATAGCAATTCCAAATGATATAGAAAAATAAGTGTAACTGTATTTTTTACTTAAGAGTTTCCTCTTGTAAGTGCAACAAATTCATGCATTTTCTTACAGCCAGCTCTATACCTTGCCATATCTTTGACCTCCCTATACGCCATGACACCTAGTTTTCTTTATATTTTACCTACTACTTTTTAAAAAATTGTCATGTTGTACAAGGCTAGCACTTTGCCTCTTCTATTCTCTATTGTTTTTAATAATGTTCTTTTTCATTCACCCTTTTTAAAAACTTCCTTAATCCTTACTTTTTATAACTGTACATGTACACATATAAATAATATTAAAAATGTTTCTTTTTTTTTATTGCATAACCAATTTTAAAAATTAATTAACATATAGAAAGACACATCACAGAGTAACATGGGCTACATTTTACTTTTTTTACTGGGTATTATTTAGTTTATCTTTAGCTGTACAGTTATTGCCCTTGTACATTCTACAGTTTTCTTTCAGCTTCTCAAAGGTTGACTGTAAGAGATCCCTTTATGGGATAAGTCCATCACTGTATATTAAATCTTTTAACGTATTTAGTATGAATTATGTACAATAAATACAACATATGATAATTTGACAAGAAAACATTTTCTTTGTTTATTTACCTGACAAAAAATCAATGAGCTGGTCCTCCCAATACTTGTAACTGTCGTACCCTGTACCCTTGTACCAGATGAGGGTGCTCCGAACATCAGGTGGTAGGGGTCTGAATCCCAATCCTGGGCTCGTGCCTATTTGACTGTACTCCTGCTGCAGTCTGGGCACACGAGGGTTGATGTAATGTTGCAGGAATGTCACCATGCATATAGCAAACAGAGCTATCAGGGCTGAGTAGAATATTATGTAGAACATAAAGAGTTTTCCTGGAACAAAATAAAATTAATATCACAAGATCCATTCATGTAATCTGACATGAAATAGAAGATAATAATACACAAGAGATGTATACAAGGAGAATTTATACAGAATGTACATATGTACAAAAAAGGCTTTATTGAAGATATAATAACAGTATTTTTAAATGACAGATTCAAGAAGAGAAAAACTTAATTCTGAATTATCCATAAAGGAACAATCAATTGTCAAGTTTATGGTTTATAAGAACTATTTTCCTATTGATGAAATACAAACTACTTGGCAAATAGTGTAAACTATGTTGGAAACCTGGCAGTATAATTTAAAAACTTAAATAAATTAAAAAGATATATTAAAAATAAAAAAAAAATTCAAAGAATTTAGTCTTTTTTGAATAGAATAGTCTTTATTATCTAATAATCTTCATTCAAATAAAATATTTATTTACAAAACTTTTTTAAATCACAATTTTTTTTATGAATCTACTACTAGACTGTTTTCTTTACAACAAACGTCTCACATTCTTTTTTGATGATTCTGATGGAAAGTGGTAACCAACATAACATAGTATACTGTTTCACCCATGATACTCCCCATGCGTTGCCATTCCTGAGGACTCAGGTGTTATTCCTCTGTACCCAGTAAATTCACGCCATATCCCACCCTTCAAACTGAAACACAGTCATGCAATCACAACTGCTTCACGGTTGAAACACGAATGGGACAGAGGTACCCAAGCAAACGACTTTTGTGCAAAGTGTCCCTCTGGTAAAATTCTCTGTATTTGTTACTTTTGTAAGTCGTGCAATAAAATATAAATAAATGTAATATTGTCCCGTATGTGTTCTGACATAGAATTTTATTATACTACACTTCAATATAGCGCATATTATGTGGGGCTTCCAAAATGGATTAACCAGCATTAAAGCCACACAACAAGTAATTATTTACGCAACAATTAGTGTGATCTGTCCTGTGGCACTGATCCAAATTTAATTATTTAAAAGGCTTCTATATCTACTTATTTATATGTGATAATAATGTGAGAGCTGTTCTATCAGAGTCATAAGACGGAAGTCACAGTATAATCTGATTATACTGTGACTCCCATCTGACAGATTATATCTGAAATGTTCATGCACTCTCCATAACTTTTGCAATAAGTGGCCCATTTTTTGACAACTTAGTTATCTATCTTAAGGGTACACACTAACCCTACATTAAGTACAGATGGTGTCACAAGAATATTTTTTTATTGGTGAAAATGAGATGGTAAGCCTACCTGTGCTATCAGTGTACTCTGGCGGGGCTTCAGTGAAAGATAATAGGTGAAGATGAAAAGGCAGGTCAATTAGCTCATTATAATAAATTCTTTTTTTTTATTCAACTTAGAATGGCAAACAAGCTGACGGCCCACCTGATGAAAAGTGGTAACCGTCGTCTATAGACATGAGCAGTACCATGGACATAACAGAGTATATTGTTTCGCCCATAATACCCCCCATGCGTTAAATTCACTAGGAATTAAGGACAATGGTTTCCAGGAGGAACTGTGAGAAGCCCTACCAGGCTGTTATGTAACAATGGTGCTACTAATCCCCATTATTAACAATCCCATCCCCTGCAACAATTTAGTTGCCACTTATCATCAAAAAGACCATTTCTGTATCACTATATATAAATATATAGTGATTAACCATCGTAATTTCTTTTTCGAGTTTTACAAGTTTTAAATCACCGCCCCTGAAGGTAACGACTAACCCAAATACTTCCCTAGTAAAACAAAACATAAAAAATAAATCGTGAAAGCCACGCCCCTATGCAATAGTTTTTCTAGAATAACTAGTAAAAATATAATATAATAAAGAAACATACAATAATTGACATAAATTAAATTCAAAACAATACATTAATTTTCAGTAAATAATATGAAAGAGTTCACTGACCCCATCTTTCAGGTGTTCGCCCGAAAATTGCTCCCGTGTTTTCGTCATAACAGGCATTGGTCCATTTCCATCTCGTAGCATTTTTAGACGGTTTTGTTTCAACTTGAAACTCTTGCAAACCAGGATTTCGATACATTGTGTGATTTTAATACACTATTTTCAAAAAATAAAATTACACAAACAATTGTTTCAAAAATATAAAATTACACAAAGTCAGTTTTAGAAGTTTTCTGAGAGAGAATCTAAGATAGGAAAAATCTGTAAACATTTGTTACCGACAATACACATACAAAATCAAAGAATTCAAACTGTTTTACTATCAAATACTGTCAATTACAGCTAAGTCAGTTGTCAATGTCAATCCGAGGTGTCATTTTTTCTTATTCAGTGGTATTTCACCCCGATATTAGGGTATTATGCCAAAAACAAAACGGAGAAATGACAGTAATAATAAAAATCCCTATCTCAAGCGAATGTAAAAAGGATAATGATTAAGCTTAAGATATTTAGAGGATATATAGGGTAGAACATAAGAATATACTTATGTGAATATGAGAATATACTTATAGATATTTAAGGGATCTAATTGATAGAACTATAAACGTATTCTAGAAATGTTTTTAAAAAGAACCTTCTTGATATGTTAATAAATAAATGTTATTATAGTTTGGACGAATATATCAATGATAAAGATAAATAGTCATCATTTGTAAAAAATAATGTCTCATCTAAATATATTTTGTTTCACTGTATAATTTTAAATGTTATGTTTTGTATACTGTTAACTGTTCCATATATTGTACGCTTATATAGCAGGATATGGAGATACTATTTAACTCATGTAATACCTTAATTTAACCTATGATCCACAATAAAGTCTTTGTATTTGTATTTATATTCATATAATCATATATAATCATTTATAGTATCATGTAATTAAATTTTAATATTGTTATCATATTATTGTAATTTTTATTTTATTGTAATACACCTTAAATTACATTTTTATTGTAATTCAAAGCATTATTATCATATTAGAATTAAATTATTACTAATATTATAAATGTGAAAGTGAAAAAAAATTATATATATGATTATAGTATTTTATCAATAATGACTCTGTCATTAGGAGAAAATAGGGTAAGAATAGAAGTTGAGAAGGGGACAAAGATAAATCGGAGATGATTAAAAAGAAAGATGTAGTTAAATTTTGAATATGAGGAAAAAATATGTTTCAAATCCACCGCTTCAATACCGCATGTCATTCAAAAGTAATAGTAGCATTAATTTATCCACAATGGAAAAGGCAAAGGAACTTTGCAGCTTTATAAATTTTTGTCTTTAGAAAATCTTTCTCTTACAACTGTCATTTGATGCGTGTTGATTTAAACCTAAGAAGGAGAACAAAATATTTGATTTAAACTACTTGGCTGTCTATAATGCCTTTGGTCTTGTCTTACATGCTAAAATAACGTTCTCAATTATTTAAATAAAATTATAGTTTGACTGTCTATAAAGGGCAAAAGTACTAGTTGTCTTAAACCCACAAAACAAATAAACAAAGATTTCTGAAAATAAATTAATTTGGTTTGACAGTTAACTGTCAATTTATCAGTCAAATCATGACATGATTACCCATACGTCAAAGTCAAGCTATATAGAATATTTATAATTTGGAATTTTATTTCAGAAATTTAGAATTACTTGTATAATGCCCTATTATTACGATTTATTTACATTTTATAAAGACTTACTGAGAATATAATTAAAGCTAGACACTAACAATTTGTCACGATTATCTCATTTTAATTGTTTACTGACTTGTGATAAAATGGCATCGTCATTAAATAAAATTATTGTTATAGTTGGATTCATTTCTCTATTTCATTCAGCATTTTCAGCAGCTCAACGTAAGTTTAAGAAAATCATATTACTTAATTATTTATGTACATGTTATCTATTAAAACTACTAGTTAAATGCAAAAAAAATATTTTATAAGCTCGCCATAGAGTTACGGGTATTATGATCTTAAACATACTTGATTACAAAATTGGAGCATTTAATAAATAACCTATGATTAAGGCAATGATGACTGTATTTATTTTCTATTTAACCTGGAATTGCAATCTGATAGCCAACCTCATGGAAAGTGATAATTCATCATTCAACTATACACATTAATAGCACCATAGATCCAACATAATATATGAACTCCTATAGCATTCCTCACACATTATCATTCTAAATATTTGGATATCTAAATTTATTAATATTTGTAATAAATTAATTTGTAATATTAAAAAATTGGTACAACATTATGTTCTTATTTTTTTTCAGTCATTGTTTTTGCCTTTCTATTTACATTTTTCTATCATTAAAATTAACAACCTAAATATTTCTTTACAGATCGCTCTTACCTTAGAATTACTTCACAGGAATTCACAACACTGCCCTTAGATGTAAGTTCAAATTAAATTAAAAAATCATCATCATCATGTCACTTAATCAATGTAATAATAATGTTTGTTATAGAGAAATCATATTAATTGAATTTTATGAATAATTTTCCAGATTGTTATACAAGCTGTAGTAAGTTTATTTGCTGTCATGTGGGGAGTACTCAACGTGGCTGGCAACTTGCGTGAAATTCCTGCTGCAGCTGAACTGAACACTATACGCTGGGAGACACAGAGGAATCTGCCATCATTCTATATGTTCAACCATAGAGGGAGAGCTCTGGCATATGACTATGTACCTAGTTCTAGTAAAGCAGAGTTAGAGAATTTAGAATAACTATTATTTTTATTTAAATGTTGATACATAGTAATAATGAGATGAATTATGAATGGGTTAAATTGTTAAAACATCATTATTTTACTGTATAGCAAGTGTCAAGTCTGTTCTCTTAAAAATATACATGTTTCAATTATAATTAAATTCAATTTCATTTAACTGATTATTAGAACAACTTCAAAATAACATAAAATGAATAATATATTACAATAAATGGTTTTTGGTATTAATTATTGTTATTTAATTTTTAATAATGAAGTAAATTTTGAAAAGATTTACTAAGATTGTTTAGTGCCAGATACAAGATACCTATTTAAAAAGGTTGCAGTTTTTGTTAATGTATGTGTATGTACATCTAATCTATAATTTTTCTTAAGGATATGTGTAAGATATAATAAAACTATAGTCATATAATTAAAAATACAATTTTATTTATTACATTATGTTGGCCCTCGCCATACAAACATATAATTTTATGTATGAACAGGGAATAGAATATCGGAGTGATACAACAACAAAACATGTTTTACTTATGACAAATTTGTTTCTTAATATTTTACTGATATTAAAATATATCAAAAATCAAATTAAGATCTAAAGAATTTAATATCTAGATTATATACACCAAATATAGAGGATAGTTCACTGTTTGGATGGCGAGGGCCATCCACAAATATGTGTCCTTAATATGCACATTATAAACATTCTGTCAATACTCTGATCTATTAATAAGTGGTCAATTTCACTATCTTCCACCGCGGCCACCTCTAAAGCCGCCACCTCGCCCTCCGCCGCCGCCTCGACCAAAACCGCCACCACCGCGATTGAAGCCGCCACCGCCTCGCCCGCCCCCTCCCCTATTGAAACCACCCCCGCGACCGCCGCCGCCACCGCCTCTTCCAAATCCACCACCACCCCCACGTCCACCACGTGGTCCCCCACGGCCTCCTCGGCCTCCGCCGCCACGCTTGGCACCTGGCGGCTGTGGCAGAAACCTCTTCAGAGGTAACAACTTTGCTGGATCGATGAAAAATTGTTGACCCTCTTTGAAACTCTTCGCTTTTATATTCTCCCCGAGCTTCACAGACACGTAATAGTCTCGCAGGTTGCCAAATATCTCGTCAATCTTTCCTATCTGTTCTTTATTTTCAAGATATATAGGGGCATTAAAGTAAGGCACATCCTCTATGTCCACCTTGCAAACTAGATCGTCTTGAACAGTCCAGCCGTAATGTCCTAGAGGGATAACTGATTCTGGAGGTCCATAGTCTTGTTGCTGTCTGAAACCTCCACCGCCGCCACCGCCTCGTCCACGACCACCTCCACCGCCAAATCCACCTCGACCTCTGCCTCCGCCTCCGCCGCGACCACCAAATCCACCACGTCCACCACCGCCACCACCGCCACGGCCTCGAAACGACATTGTTTCATACAATATTTGAAAACACTAAAATTAAATAACCTAAAACTTCAAACAACACGCCTTTAAGTGGTGGTTTATTATGGGTTGCTTACTACAAAAATATTTACCCCAAAATGTTTAATAAAAAGAAAGCTACTACAAATTTTTATGACTAATAATTTAATGTCACTGTAACATAAAAAAAACTCATTTCTGTTTTTATATTAAATATAGGTAAATTATTAAAAACGTGTTTGTTACCTCAGTATAAATATATTATTTACAAAATTTATCAATTGACTTTAATGAATATTTTATGTAGTTTATATAGCAACATGAAGTTAACATTACCAGTTGCCATTTCCATTTCACTATTGAGCAATTGTTGTTTCAAAACTTTGAAAATTTCCATAAAAATTTGATAAACTACGAATAAATCTAAATAATTCAAATATTTTTTTATTATTTTATATAGCCCATATCAATGGAAAATACGTGTAAGGGTTAACAAAAATAATCCAATATGTGCTCAATAAAAATAATAAAATTATTAATTTATTATACTTATATTTAACAAGATAGAATTGTATCATTATAACCATTAGGCAAAAAATTGTTTTAGATTACGAATATTTTAATGGAATCGCTGATGATTTTTTTATTGGATGTCAATGTAACGTCGGTTAACTTGACAGTTTATTCAAGTTTATTTGACAGTTTATTGATAATAAAAAGTTGGCTATGTCTGTTATTTGTGTAAAATTATATATACCTAATTTATTCGTTCATGTTTCTTGTATACCCTGAATTTTAACTTCAATTTCCTAAAATTCTTTACACTTTTGTAGTTTTACAACATATTTGTTAGAAAAAGCTAAACTGTATTTTGAAGTCATTTGCACGACAAAGTAATGGCGACGTTGGAAGATGAAATTCGAGATCTCAAAGAAAAGAATAATGAATTGGTCCAAAAAGTGCAGTATTGGAAGATGGCAGCAGCCTCCAAAGAAGATGAGAAACTTGAATTAATGAAGGAAATTAACGAATTAAGACTGAAATTAAGTGTAAGTGAATTTTTCGTGTCCTTTTTATTAAGCAATTACAACGTACAAATTGAGCGTTTTTAAAGTTTACTGTGGCAAGGCATGATGTCTTATGATTTTATCCTTACTATATCATCATCATTGCCTTGCCTTTTCAGGGTCTGCGCAAAAAATAATAACTTCAATTTCCGTACACATCTACAATATATATAGTAGTGCCATATGCATACGTTGTATATGTATTTTTTTAATGGATGAAAATGGAATGGTAACCCCGCCTGCGCTATCGGGATATGCTGGCGGGGTACCAATGAGGGATGATAGGTAAAGACGAAACAGGTCAGTTGGCCCATCATGATGCATTCATCAAAAATGAATCACGATGGGTTTCAGGGAGAATTGTATGGAGGTCGACCTGTTAGGCTATATTGCTAGTAATAGATCTGTTGAATCTCATTACTAACAATCCCTGACCCCTCATTGGATATCTATTGCATTGCAATAGTTTTTCTCTCTGATTATATCATTAAGATAAAAAAACAACCAACCAATCAAGATAGTTTAGATAATTTAACCAAAGGTTGTCTGTAAGAGATTGCCCTAGCGATAAGACGGCCTTTTGTACCTTTATATGTATATTTCAATCTGTATTTATGTTACTGTATTTCACTTGAATTGTTCACTTGTCATTGTATATTTTTATTTATGGTGCAATAAAGAGTTAAATAAATAAATAAATAAAATAGTTTATGAGCTATGGTTGAAATTGGAGTTTAAACTGTCCACTAATCAAAGACAATGTTACATTTACTGACATTAATTTTGCTATTGCATTAGCTTTCCAACTTTAAAATGAATTGATATATATTAATTATAGTTATATTTATTTAATTATTATTTTCTTGATTAAATTTTATACACAACTACTTAACTTTATATTTTTTTTTTATTTACTTAGAAAAAGTATAGCTTACTGTTAGAGTAACTAAGTAATCTATCAACAAGATTGAAAACTTGATAATTTATAACAGAACATGTTAATTTATTCTTATTTAATTAACGTGTCACAATCTTATTTAATTAACGTGTCACAATCTTATTTAAGTAATGTAAGGTATTAATAATAATAATATGTAAACTAAATATTTATTTAAATACATAAATTACAGAGAATTAGAAGTGGTGGTGCGGCTGAGGCCCGTAAATTAGATGCAGCATTACAGTCTGCAAGTAAAGAGGCTATCTCACATCTCGTAAAGGCGTCGAATGCTGTGACCCGTACTATTGTGTTGGCCAAAACATACATGCAGGACCGTCAGGAGATAGATAATTTATCACCACGATGGAACAATATCGGTAGCACACCGAGCAACGAGAAAATCCACCGAGTGCCACCCATGCTTATGGGGGGACAGTCCATTCAACCTGTAGTATCATTAAGTAGGACCATTTTAAACACTAATTTAAGTAAGTTTCATATAATTTAATTATTGAATATTTTAACCACTATATATATACTATTAAATACTACAGTCATACATTTTTCTGTTACTGACTCTCAACTGTTCCACCCTTGAGTGATTTGCAGCAGGAAGGCAGTTCTTAATTTGATTTTTTTTTTATGTATGTTATCTTATGACTGTCAGTTTCTTTTTATTATTATTATAACACAGGGGGCAAATGAGCATACAGCTCACCTGATGGTAAGTGACTACCACCGCCCATAATCACCCACAACACCAGCCGCATTTAATTAAGTTTTAAACTCATTTGAAAAAATCTTTTTTATTTAAGATGATATACTTACAAGTTGGTTACATAGAATTTTTTTTTTTCAATATTGGTTCAGTAGTTAAATGAAAAGGTTATGTCACAATTGAAGTTTGTTTTTTGTGGGATCTTTAATTATTTATATTTAAAATGATATTGTTTTTTTTTTCTTTTTTAAAAACCATATTATTTGTAATGGTTTTATAAATATTGGATATTTTTTTTTATTAATTATTAAATATAAATTTTATTTATATAAACTAATTTCAGTGTCTAGAAGCCCTAATAGAAGTCGGAATGTGACCGAGAGAGCTGTACCATTACATATGCTACAAGGTAAGCATGCATGCATATGAGGCAGACTTTATACAAAAGTCGATTGCTTGAGTACCTCTGTCCCATTTATGTTTCTACTGTGAAGCAGCTGTGTTTGCATGGTTGTGTTTCAGTTTGAAGAGAATAACACCTGAGTCCTCAGTATCATGGGCGAAACAGTATACTCTGTTATGTCCATGGTACTGCTCATGTCTATAGGCGACGGTTACCACTTTCCATGAAACAAACAAACAACAAAAAAAAAAATCCATTATTAAATTCAATAAAAAAATGCGACTTTAAAGTTTACACTATAATTTATCTTTTCAGTCTGCATTGTAACCATTAGAGTGTGTGTGGTTGCAGCATATTTTGGGCTTCCACTTCCTTGTCCCGTGGGTGTTGTAAGTGATTAAGGGAACTTAAAAGATGGGCAGCAGCATCACTAAAGTCTAACTTCAGTTGCCAACCTGACTGCCCAACACGCAACTATTGACAAAATCTGTTACATGGCTGTGTTTCAGTTTAAAGGGTGGGATATGGCGTGAATTTACTGGGTACAGAGGAATAACACCTGAGTCCTCAGGAATGGCAACACACGGGGGGTATCATGGGCGAAACAGTATACTCTGTTAAGTCCATGGTACTGCTCATGTCTATAGGCAACGGTTACCACTTTCCATCAGGTGGGCCGTCAGCTTGTTTGCCATTTAAAATTGTATAAAAAGAAATCTCCCTTAGAGAGGTCCATATCCAGCGGTGGACAGTCAACACCTGAAATGATGGTGATGATGATGATTAGAGTCTACACTATAATGTGTCATTGGAGTTTCCAATGTAATAATTATTATTTGTGTAAAATCTGTTTCAGATCTATACATACCTCTTACAAGGATAGATGCAGGTGTACCGGCCAATAATATGGATACAGAAAATGACGTGAATGAAGCAGAAGACAGCATACAGGAGCTGGGGCTTGATGGTAAGCACATAAGCACATATCAATGGTACCGCTCATGTCTATAGGCGACGGTTACCACTTTTCATCAGGTGGACCGTCAGCTTGTTTGCATTTTATTTCACTTTAATGGATGGGATAAGAAGTATCGTATTTTTTTTTTCTATGATATTATTAATCTGTGTACCAAATTGTAGAATAATTTATTTATTTATTTTATTTATTTATTCATTAGTACAAATATGTGTACATGGCGGACTTAATGCTAAAAGCATTCTCTCCCAGTCAACCATAGGGAAGTGTCAGAATACTCGAATGCGGTACTACTAATTATTAATATACATACGTATTAAAATTACATATATAAACGAATAAATATATATAAATAACAAATATACTTACACATATATGACATATACTATATTATACACGAAATTGAGAATAATATAAAGTACTTACTGCTCGGATAAAAATAAAAAGTGTGCGTTAACGCTTTTTTTGAAAGACGGTTTAGTCGGTAGTCTCTTAATGGCATCAGGAAGCGCGTTCCAGAGTCGTGAAGAATGTAGGAGAAAAGAGTTTGAAGCGTAACCAGTACGGTGAGAGGGGAAGGATAATTGGAGAGTATTATTGGAACGAAGGTTACGTTCGTGAGTTTCAAAAAGATAATGGAATTTACTCCTTAAGTAGTTAGGAGACTGGGGGTTTCGAAGAAGAGTGTAGAGGGTACAAAGAGTTCTAACGTTTCTGCGTTGACGAATGGAAAGCCACTTGAGCTGAGACCGATATAAAGAAATGTGATCGAATTTGCGGAGGTTGAAGATAAAGCGTATAGCTTGGTTGAGGAGACGGTCCAGCTTATCGAGAAGATCTTCATTAAGATCTGGATAACACACATCAGCATAATCAATAATCGGAATAATAAGTGCGTGAACAAGATTAATTTTTGTAGCGATAGGCAAAAAGTTTTTAAAGCGATATAAGGAGCGTAGCGTAGCAACAACTGAGCGACTTACCTCCGCAACTTGATGTGACCAACTGAGTGATGAGTCTATGTAAAGGCCAAGATCTTTAACACAAGTTTTTAATTTTATAACTAAATTGTTAAATGTAATTGGTGCCATTGTGTTAACATTAAGTTTAGCTAATTGTCTAGAACTGCCAATTACAATAGCTTGACACTTAGAGGGGTTAACAGCTAATCCATAGTTAGACGACCATGCCAGAATGCTGTTCAGATCGTTATTAATATTCGCTACAGATTGATTGATATCATCTACAGTGCTCTGAGTATATATCTGAAGATCGTCTGCGTAAAAGTGGTAATGACAGCCAAGGACAAGAGAAAGAAGATTAATAAAAATAGAGAACAATAAAGGAGAGAGGATCCCACCCTGAGGCACTCCGGCAATCAATTCCTGCCAGTCTGAGAGTTTATGGTCAATGCGAACTGCCTGTTGTCGACCACTCAGATAGGAGGAGAACCAGTTTAATGCAGAAGATGAGAACCCATTACTTTGCAAAATGGCAAGGAGAATTTTGTGGTCTACCATATTAAAAGCGTTGGAGAAGTCAATAAGAACGAGAATAGTGACCAAACCATCATCCATGCCAAATCGAATGTCTTCAGTGATTTTAGAAGAGCAGTGGTGGTACTGTGTCCAGGGCGAAAACCGGATTGAAAAGGAGTTAAAATTTTATTTTTATGAATAAAGCTGGACACCTGCTTATTTGCTACACTCTCCAGGATTTTGGACAAAAAGGGAAGAAGAGAAATGGGGCGAAAATCATTTAGGGATTGAGGTACTGAGACCTTTGGAAGAGGGAGAACAATTGCATTACGCCACAGAGAGGGGAAGTTACCAGACGAAAAGGAGAAGTTTATAATGTGAGTAATTACTGGAGTAATGTGATCCAATAGAGCTGTGATCATATCTCGACTTACACCATCATATCCCATAGCCTTAGATTTTATAGACAATATAGTTTTACGGGTTTCGTCGTGAGTTATTGGAGAAAAAGCGAAATTATCTTCAGATGAAATCGATTGAACTATATTGGAGATAGTAGCTGATTTAGTCGATGAATTGATACAATTGGTGGATGAAAAGTGACGGTTAAGTTCATTTGATGTGAATGGGTAGGAAGTAGAATCAGATTTACTTTTCCCAAGACCAAGAGAACGTAAAAACTTCCAAATGCTGGTTGAAGAAGCATTCGAAACATTATTGTGAAAATGTTGTCTCTTAGCTGCCCTTACCATTTGGTTGCATCTATTCCGTGCAAGTTTGTAGAGTACCCATTTATCATCACACCTATCACGTTTAAAGGCCCTAAAAGCTCTATCACGTCGAGTCATGGCCATACGTACCCCCCTGGTAATCCACGGTGCTGGAGGCCGCTTGACACGTACCATACGCAAAGGCGCATGGTCATCAAACAATTTTAAGACTATATTATTAAAGTTAGATACTTTGTCATTCATTGTTGATGCCACATGCACCTTGGCAAAGTCTAGCTTGGAGGCATCCTCTTCAAACTTAATTGTATCTACACGGGAGTAGTTACGCATCCAAATTAAGGTAGGTTTAATTTTAGGCGATTTAAGTTTATAGGTGACGTATAAAGCATCATGTTTTGAAAAGCCAGGAGCAGGTAGTTGGCCGTACTTGATGCAGAGATTAGGAGAGGAAGTGATTATTAAATCAAGCCATGTATCTGAAGAAGAAGGATTAACATGAGTGGGCCCTAGTGGGAGAATATTAAGATGAACAGACTTGATAAGATTTTGAAGTTTTCGGGAACGCAGGGAATCTGTTATAAGGTCAGTATTAAAATCACCTAAAATTATGTGATGTATATAATCCGAACAAATTGTTTCTAAAGTTGATTCAAGTTGATTGAAGTAGTCAATAGAAGGTGGACAATAAACGACTCCAAGAACGGCTTTAGCGTTTTTAATTTTAATTTCAATAAAGAGGAATTCAGCGCTTGCAGAATAGTTAGAAGGAGAGGAAGAAAGAATTGTGTAGGGAATATCACTGCGTAGATAAATAGCCACACCCCCGCCGCCCTTACCAATTCTGTCGTTGCGGATTAGAACATACCCCGGGAGACAATAGGATGTGGAGGGCAAGGAAGGTTTGAGCCAGCTTTCAGAAATAAGAATAGAATGTAGAGTAGAAGAGGAAAATGTGTCAAGAAGTTCAGAGTAGTGAGAAGGTATACTTTGAGCGTTCAGATGGCACACGTTAAAACCATGAGGAGAGAGAGGCATTAAACAATTTAGTTTATTTCGCAGCGTTTCAGGTTCATCGAAAGAATCACAAGATGAGAATGAGATAGAACTATTACCACGAGCAGAATAGAACGAATCATCATTTGACATATAAATAGATATTAATATAAGTTATATAAATAAATAATAAGTTAAATATAATACATAAATATAATATAATAAAAAATGTAATAAATTATTTGAATAAAAGATATATAAAAATTAAAGTTTATAGTATTAACTGCACGTCCTGCCGGTTGTGTGGTTTGAGAATAAATTAAACTAGATATTACAGGCTAAAAAGAAATAAAAAAGTATTGATAACAATAATCACACATAAGAAATACTAACTAGGCATAAAGATATAAATGAAAATACTTCAATAAATATTGTGTTACAACAAACAATCACTGCATATGCAGATTAATAGATTATAACCCCCTCCCCAAAAACAACTCCATAACAGTTGTCATTTTCTAAAAGTGCCAAGAAAATTTAGCAAAATTAATATGCCAACTGTATACAACTACATTATGTAATGCTAAGTTCTCTAACTTTCAGAACTTATCTATGGTACACATGCTGTCTATATGACAGTTGACAATTACCAAATAAATGTCAGCTACAATAATATGTCAACGTAAAGTGGCATTCCAATATATTTGTAAATAAAGAGGTTTTTTAATAATTAGTAATTTCTATTTTGATAATTTAGTGGGAGGTGTAATCATAATATTAGTTATGAGTACTTATGGACAACACAATAACAGGATTTTAACCTAGGTGATGGGGAAACAAGATAACAAAACTGAAAGACAAAAAATATAGAGCAAAATGTTCCTAGTTACAAACAGAATGAAGTGATTAAAATAAAAGTACTTCGTTAAATTATTTCTTTGTTCTGCCGCTACGTTTGGATTTTGTACGAGCCTCCGAGGTGCCTGATGTAGGTGACGCCTGACTCACAATGGCTGGGGTCTCGGCGTTACCAGGGACGAAATGATCCAAGTCCTTATTTGTGAAAACCCTCTGAATAGTGCCATCCGATAACTTGACTATGACATTGCCGTCAGTAGTCCAGCATCTCCTGGTGCCAAGGCGCTTACGTGCGAGCATAAACAGACTCTGCCTGTGGCGTGTGAGAAACTCTGCCATAGAATAAGAGGTACCTTTGAGAGCTGTCTTCTTTCTCCAGACATCAGACTTTAGAGTCGGCTCAGTGAATCGTAGTAATACCGGCCTACATTTGCCTTCAACTGGTTTACCAAGCCGGTGACAGACTGCAATCATCTTCTTGCTCAAGTCTTTGAATTCGAACCTGTCTCTCAGGATTTGAACTATGAAGTCTTCTAATGTAGGATTAATATCTTCAGGAATCCCATTGAACAGAAGGTACTTCCTACGATGTCTCATCTCAATATTATCAAGCACTCCAGCGACTGCTGCAATCTGTTGCTGTAGCAAACCAAGTACAGAATGCACATGAGACTTGAACTCCTGGAACTCCTCATCAAGCTTCGTCATAGAATTGCTGGTTTGTGGAACTTCAGCCTTCAATTGTGCTTCGAACCGTGATATCTTGTCAAGCACAGTGGCCTCAAGAGCATGTTGAGTCTCAAGAATATCTGTATAGTTTGCCATTTTCTTATGTCAGTGTGATTGAGTGTGAAACCAACAGGACAATGCAGAATATATTGTAACTAGTGCATGTAAAGCTACACAAACACTTGTGAAGGTTATTGGAATAATAAACTTATATAATTTAAATAAAAAATTAAAAAAATCACACTTTTTTTAACTTTAATAATAAATTCAAATGGGAGCACTATGTTACTTTTATTTAGATCTACCGCCAAAAAAAATAATTGAAGTTGTCTTAAAAATGTGGGTTTTTACATACAGCGTGTAAGGGACAGGTTGGCAAAAAATGAAACGGTGAATTCAAACCATTATTCTGAACTGAAGACCAGTGGCGATTCATTCCGGAAAATTTCAAATATTTATCCCGTATTATTTTACATTTAAAAACATGTAATCTATGATATTATTTCATAATATAAATAAATAATAATATTTTATAGGGAACTACTATGAAATACCAAAAAACAGAAATGTAATATACGTATTAAAATCCTACCGCGACGCGCGGAATCTGAGGGCCTACCATGAAATGTTTTCCGAAATTTCGGAGCCAAACGAAACAGAAATTTGATGTTAAAATTACATAATACATGCCATTTGGAAATATTGAAAATGTTAATACATTGTTTCTTTGGACTTTTATGATAGGATGTATGACGAACGAAATGTTAAACTCCATTTATTGGTCCGATAATGGTATAAACAAAAACACGAAACTGAGTCCGAAATTTCGGAATTTCATTTCATGGTAGACTCGCTGTTGTGTGAGGTCACCGCCCCAAACGTACGAAAACTACCTACGAAGAAGCGCTATTGAACGCGCCTTGTCACGTGTCACGTGTCGTGTGGATCGTAAAATTTCAAATACATTGCGCGGCGTCAAAACTAGGAATCGTTAATTATATTATGGCTGTGGTGCATTTCCGGTGGGAAAATAACCTGCCACCTGATTCAGAGCATTCATCTGAATCAACTGTTTTCATTTTGGCCAACCTGTCCCTTCCACCCTGTATATAACAAACATCTAAACACTAGGGGGGAAAGGGATTGTTAGCAATGGAGTTTGACAGCCCCTATGCTAGCAATATGCCCTATTAGGTCCACCTCCACGTGGTTCCCCCTGGAAACCATCGTGAACAATTCTTGTTGAATTCGTCACGATGGGCTAACTGACCTGCTTCATCCTCACCTATCATCCCTCACTGGTGCCCCGCCGGTGTATACCTTTAGCGCGGGTGGGGTTACCATTCCATTATCACCCATTTCTAATTTCTAATATTATTAGGATTAAAATCAACTATTTTTTGCAGATAGCATGGAAAGATCCCTAGAAGGGGCGCAAGGTAATATCTCAGGAGAGGATTTTGAAGCGTCGTGAGTGTTATTCCGTCATTCAATTGCATTTTATTATGTAAAAAAAATAAATAGAGACATTTGTCCATTATATATTACAATAATAAGTATATAATATATTTTGAATATATGCTATTTTACATTTTGAAGCCATGGTGCTTCATAGTCCCTCTATATAGATAGATAGATAGATAATTTATTTGCATCACTTACAGCACACAAACAACAAAAGATACAAAAGCAAAGTGAAAAAAGATAAAAAACGATACATGTACAAAAGATTAAAAAAAAAACCAAAAACAAAAACAGAATGCATAATAAAATTTTTTTTCTTCATTTGTGTGCCACAGTAATGCAAAATGGCCACAACTCAGCTTTTTGCTTTGCCCTAAAAAGAGCAAAACACTGATATTCTGTTGTGGCCAAAAGTGAGTTGCGACATACCACTAAAAAAAATAATAAAAAAGAAAGAAATATAGATCAAATACATAGTGTGCGTTCGTTATATTCGCTATTTAGAAGAAGGGTAGTCAGAAGTCAATTTCTATCAGTTTCAAGCACTCAAAACATAATGAATACCTAAATTATACAAATACAATTAGGTACATGAAATCATATTAAAGAGGCAACAGCAGGCGTGCCAATCGCCAAACAGCGATCCCTTTCAGACAACCCAAGGATGAGATATAAGAGAACTGTTATCAATATGTGAGCGCTGCACAGTCATGGACTATAGGGTATTTACCCTATAGTTGCCGTGTGTCGTGAGAACAGATTACTTCCTCTCTTTTCCGTGGGTGTTGTAAGAGGCGACGAAGGTCTACCTGTCCTTTCCCCTCGGTTGGGGAGGCTTATATTTAGCAGTAGACAGTTAATGGCTGATGTAATGATGATGAGTACCAGACTGTTCCTTGTTGCAGTCTATAATGCATAAATTTTGTAAACTCACTAAAGCTTTCCATATAAAATTGATAACTTTATTCGCTAACTTTAGCGCTCGCGTAAATAACTGTTATGGTGAGCGTACGGCTGACTACCTGGTTCCTCGATTTATTAACGAACTACCCACCGATGTACGGGATAACATTGCTATTAGCAACATCAAGTGTAAATTAAAACGATACTTCTTGCATGGTTTTAATACAATTTAAATAATTTGAATGTACTTAGTATTAATATAAACCTACGTGGTTTCTGAATGCTAATGTAACATAAATTCTGTAACTTGTATTTTTATTGATAATAAAATAAAATAAAAAAAAAAAATAAAAAAATATTTATTATGCATTGATGTTTTACCATCTTTTTCTAGTGTCACATTTTAGTCTAAATAAATGCATATGTTTATTGTGTTAATATTTTTTTATGTGCAGGAGAAGATTGGAGACAGTGACCGAAGACTTGGAACCAGAGGAGACTGTACTGACCTCACCGAGGTAGATAGATAGATACTCTTTATTGTTGCAAAAAAATACACTAAACTTGTTATAGATACTAACAATTACGGGAAATCATCACAGAAAGAAAGCAATGGGTAGCCTTATCGCTAAAAGCGATCTCTTTAAGGCCACCTTTGGATGAAGAGATACAATAATTTTTTTTTTTCTATGAAATACAAATAGCCATTGGCTAAAATGCATGCATGTTTTATTCTTCAAGATGGCTTTATGCATTAGAATTGGCATAAGCCGAAACTCGTTGTAAGATCAGTTGGCGAATTGTGATGAGTTCATCAGAAATCAAAGATTTCGGATTTAGAATAAATGGAATGCATACTCGTAATTCACATAGTGTGTTGCTCGTTCTATTTATGACATTACCAATGCGTTAGAGTGGGATAGGCATATAAAAACGCATCTGCCTTTTGACTAGTCCGTAGAAGTCAAATTCATCAATGTCAAATGTCACTTGGTTTTTATTGGCCGTATAATCCTACCAAATTCAAATACAACCTTGCTTGCATACTTTCTACATAAACTGTATCGAATATTATAATGTAGTAATGTAAACGAACAAAAATTTTACATACACATTTTCTATACACTAGCCTGATATGAATTGAGAAAAATAGCAACTGATGGTGTATCTTTCGTCCTCTTTTTACTAATTATATTTGCATAAGAAGAAAGGAGGCGAGCGTATGAGTTACACTTTTTATTTTATCATTCCTTCTATGTAATTCCTTGTTCTTAGTTAGAAATAAACCAGATTATTTTGTAAATAGATAATTGATTAATTGATAATAAATTCTGTTACAGCAGAGGTAAAGTTGATAATCCACTGGAAGGCCCTAGTTGGTTATTGGATCGCCCTTTCACAAAGGTGAGCATTGTTATAAAGTATATAAGTACATACATGGTAAAAATAAATATTTTGTCATTATAAAAAGTAGCACGTAGTCGCACTATTGTCTCGTCCTCTGACAAAAAGAAGCCAGGCAATAAATATTTAAAGATACAACCAGAACATCTACGTCAATTCACGTTGCTTGGGTAACTCTGTCCCTTTCGTGTTTCTACCGTGAAGCAGTTGTGTGCAGGCTGTGTTTCGGTTTAAAGAGTGAGATATGGCGTGAATTTACAGGGTACAGAGGCATAACACCTGAGTCCTCAGGAATGACAACGCATGGGGGTTATCATGGGCGAAACAATATACTTTCTTATGTCCATGGTACTGCTCATGTCTATAGGCGACGGTTACCACTTTCCATCAGGTGGGCCGTCAGCTTGTTTGCTATTCTAAGTTGTATAATATATATATATATATATATATATATATATATATATATATATATATATATATATATATATATATATATATATATATATATATATATATATATATATATATATATATATATATATATATTATACATATTATATATATAGTTTTTAAAGCCTCATAAGTCCCGGCATAGAATAGGCCATCTCTTTCTTTCCTGTGGTGGTGGGCGGGTGGTAAGAGGCGACTAAGGAAGGGCGAGGAATAAGCATCCTTCTTAATACATCACCAAAGCCTAAATCTGCAGATGCTAACCTGCCTGCCAATCGCGGCAACTACTGGCAAAACGCCCCTAATAGGAGGGACTGGGGAGAAGGGATTGTTGGTAATGGGGATTATCAGTCCCATTGCTAGCAATATACCCTGTCAGGTCGACCTCCCCATGGTAAACATCGTGCTGAATGCCAGGGGTATCCATCACGACAGGCTAACTGACCAGCCTTTTCATTCTCACCTATCATCCCTCATTGGTGCCCCGCCAGCGTATACCGTTAGCGCAGGCGGGGTTACCATTTCATTATCATCCATTAAAAAAAATAGGAGAGACTATGTTCAGCAGTGGACAGTTAACGGCTGATTCGAGATGGTTTTTAAACGGCAAATGATGGATTTATTTTAGTCAAAATCGAGAATGTCAAAGAGTCGCATGAACTTGGAGCCGGACTCCACGACCGAGCCGGACGAGGGCGCGCGGGCCGCGTCCGCCGCCGCCGCCGCCGCCCGCCAGCGGGTCGACGAAGAGGTAAGTACATGACCCTGCTATGGAAAACTATATGATTATTTAGGTATAAATTTGTCTACGGTAACATGGCACGCCTCTCCGTAATCCATAGAAAATTTTTCCATAATCCATATAATTATTTATAATTTCCATATCAGTGGTATCCCTTGTGTTGCCTTTTTTATACCACTGATGTGGCAATCAAGCATACGGCCCACGTGATGCTAAATGGTTACTGTAGTCTATGAACGCCTGCAAGACCAGGGGTATTACGCACGCGTTGCCGAGCCTGAAAAAACTTTTTTACCCTTCTTTCGAAGAACCCCATGGTGTAGTCTTTTGGGAAAACCTCGGCAGAGAACTCATTCCATAACCTGAGTGTTAGTGGGAGAAAACATCACTGAAACCGCGTTATACGCGACCATTCAGTTTGTATGAAATATGAGGGTGAATAAATATATATATATATATATATATATATATATATATATATATATATATATATATATATATATATATATATATATATATATATATATATATATAATTTAAATTACATTGTTAATGCATTTATAAATATTGTAAGCAAGGGTGGACTTATCTCTGACAGAGATCTCTTCCAGTCAACCCAATGCAGTTAGAAAGCATGTCGTTAGCGGGCAGCTGAAGTGATACTGTACATATTATCCTTTTTAAATGGCCAGACCCCCCCTTTTATTTTTTTAAATGCGCCAATATATATGGCAGCCGGCGGTGGCAGCAGAGGCTTGCTTCACGCCGACCGTGCGGCGCCGCAAGCGCAGCGCCACGCCGCCGCCTGCCGCGTCCCAGCCCGCACGCCGTTACAGGTATGGACTACGCGTATATACCAGTATCTATATATATATATATAGATAGATAGATAGATAGATAGATCGTTTATTTGTTTGTTACTAATCACACACAACATGTACATAAGAATAGACAATACATAAAACAACATAAGATTTATAATTGTGTTATTATGTGTGATCTGCAGCAATACAAAAAGGTCGAAGCTCAGCGTGTAACATTGTTCAAGGAACAAAACACTGATTTTCAGCTTTAACCCATTTGAGGGTACGTGAAAATAATAAATAAAATAAATACAAAATAAAAAGAGTAATATTTTTGGTGATTGTCTGTGCAGTGTGTGTATAATAAAAATAATGTAAATAGTTCAAGAGTATAATTTGATATAATTTTAACTGAGTGGTAAGGATAAAGCGAAAAAAAAAAAGAAAATATTAATAAGAGAAACATGGAAAAAAAAAAAATATTAAAAATCATTACATGAGTTTGCAACCGCTAGCCAAGAAATTTCTGTGGAATGCCTAAAATTTGTTTTTTTAATAAGTATTCTTTGTGATGTTTTTTAAAACTTTGTACGGTAGTCAGATGCCTAAATGGTGGCGGGATGTTGTTCCAACATTTTGTTGCTTGGTAGCGGAAGCTGCCAGTAAATGCCACAGTTCTGTGTGCTTGAAATGATAATTTCGAACAAATGAATCTGTATCCATACATACGTGAAGAGAAATTTAGCTTTTCAAAGAGATAAACTGGCTGTTCACTTTTTATTACATCGAACAATAGACTAGCCAGATGTAACTGTCTTCGCGATTCCATATTCAAAATTGAAGCATTGTTTAAATAGGGACTAATATGGCTTCGGGGGGGAATATTAAAGCAAAAACGACAACATGCATTTTGCACTCTCTGAGTCAGGCGTTGAGTTCTGGCCAATAGTCGTGGTCCATACACAATGTCTCCATAATTAAATTTGGATAAGATTAATGATTCGCATAGTGTAATACGAACTTTTTCCGATAATAAATTACGAATTTTATATAAGACCTTAAGGCGATAAAAACATTGTTGTACTACATTTAATATATGCCTTTCAAATCGCAGCCGACTGTCAAAAATAATCCCCAAGTTTCGCGCTTCTTCCACTCGTTCAATACTCTGATCCAGGATATTTACTGTAATATTTTTATTTATTATGTCAGTAATTTGTTTTGTTGATCCAAGAATCATATATTTTGTTTTGTTGGGATTAATAACCAATGCATTTTCTTGTGACCAGGCAGCAATTTTCTCCAAGTCCTTATTAAGTTTATGAGCAGCGTCAGTAATCGCAGCGGGGGCTCCAGAGATATAAATTTGTATATCATCAGCGTAACAATGAAAATTACAATAGTTTATTGCATTTTCAATGTCAGCACAATAAATAATAAAAAGAAGTGGCCCGAGTATCGAACCCTGAGGTACTCCACGGTCTACCAGCTTAGGCTCTGACACTGAGTAGGAACCATCCAGCTTTTGTATTTTTACCGATTGGTATCGGTTGCTAAGGTAACTATGAAACCATCCCACAGAGTGCCGATCCAAACCATAATATGTCAGCTTTGAAAGCAAAAGAGGTACATTTAAACAATCAAAAGCGCGAGAGTAGTCGAGTAAAGTTAAAATAGTACCATTACCAACATCTTGTGAAGCAAGAATATTATCTACAACATCCAGTAAAGCAGTGGTAGTGCTTTTACCTTTACGGAATCCTGACTGATACTTTGGCAGGATGTTGTTTGTTTCAACGTATTTCAGCAACTGAGTATGAACGGCTTTCTCCAAGACTTTGGACAGAAAGGATAGAATACTTATTGGTCTGAGATCATTAAACTCGGCAGGATTATTAATTTTGGATAAAGGAGTAACCAATGCATGTTTCCATTGACTAGGAACTTTAGACGTAACAATAGATTTATTAATTATGTTGGTTATAATTGCTAGTGTACGAGGAAGAGTCAATAGTATCATGTCTCTACTCACCCGATCACTACCCAATGCATTAGATTTTATTGCCGAGATATACCTAGCAACATCACTCTCTGACACCGGCTGCAATCGAAAACCAGCTGTACCATACCTATGAAACTCATAGTAAGTGAGTTTTGATAAAGACACATTATTCGGTCCAGGTACATTTAAAAAATGTGCATTAATGTTGTCGGGGTTATTGAAAAAGGACGGTAGTATATCACTTTTAGGGGAGTCCACGGAAATATTTTCCTTTAACTTTTTCCAGAATATTTTACCATTACTTTGTTGAGAGTTTATATGATAATTATAGTAAGCTCGCTTTTCCCGATCGATACTACTGTGAACGAGATTTTTAAGGTCTTTATAATATTTATTGTGTACCTCCAATCCTGTCCTCCTATACATTAACAGTGCTTTATTACGCAAGTCAATCATACGTCTGATGGTATCGGTTACCCATGGTAGTGAATGTTTGCCATTAATTTTAATCCTTTTTTCAGGAGCATGTCCATCAAAAAGGAATAGCAACATCGAGTTAAAAGTGTCGACCATCAAGTCAACACAAGCCAGGCTATTTATGTATTCCCAATTTATAGAATTTAAATGTAGATTAAAATATTCCAGGTTAATATCCCTGATGGGTCGATGTATAAAATATTTAATTGGCATTTTACACTTTTTTATTGTGAGTTCGAAATTAATCATCGCATGCCCCAAGGAACCTCTAATAAAATTGTTCGAAATACTGCGGACCGGTGCATTAGTACACACTAGGTCAATAAGCGTTTCAGTGTCGGTTGACAAGTGTGTTGGCTCAGTGACTATTTGCGTGAGGCTAGTATAGTGTAGAAACTCTACTATTTTTTGTGCATTATTATTATGCAAATTCAGCATATTAACATTTAAATCTCCCATAAAAACCGTATAGTCATAATTAGAAAAATAAGTCACAGTTTCCGTTATAGCATCCAAAAATTATCAATGTTCATCCATTGAGGACGATATGCCGTACCGATTAATATATTGTAGCAATTAATACGCGTAGACAACCACATCTGTTCGATACTAGCCGCTGGGTGTTTGAGTATGCGCACACGCACATTACGTTTCACGTAGAAGGCTAGTCCCCCCCCGCGGCCGGCGCGCATGCTTACCGGTCGCGGTGAGCTATACAGTCTGTAGTCGGCGACGGCGGGCGCACATCCCTCCTCACCCGAGCGAAGCCATGTTTCATTTATTGCAATGAAGTCGGCGTTGAAACGATTCACTGCAACTATAAATTCGTCTCGTGCTGTATTGAGTGACCCGGCATTGTATAGACCTAACTTAATGAACTTATTTGAATTGAAGAATTGTATGATGTATAAAAATAAATACCACAAAGGAGTCAACACAAGGTAAGCATGCGTACTTAGTTCTGTCATTGTAAATGTTGCTAGTATAACGAACAATAGTAGGCGACGCCGACGTTACCATAGATAGAAGTGAAGTGATTTTAGTGCGTTGTATAGTGTAATCTATGGATATATAATATAACATAAATATTTTCAAGTACCCCTGGATTGCAGCAGATTCGCACAAGATCATATTATCATGGCAAACAAGATACAAATAAAATGAAATATGGTCATTCATCTTTTTAGAACAATACATGATTGATACAATAAATAGTAATACGTAATACAGATTTAAATAACAATTAATAAATAATTTATACACGCTGAATAGTTTATACATGAAATAAGTAGTTATATTGATTTTGTATTGTTTCAGATTATGTGAATATATGGATGATACAATAAAAAGTATATACATTATGATAAAAATTGAATAGATTTTACTCAGTATGCTATACAACACCGACAAAATGGAATAAATAATATAAAATTCATAACTAAAGTTTAAGTAAAATACTGTGGATATATAGATACCGATATTGACATATGAAGTGACCTTCAGTGGACTTATACTTACCTTATTCGTTTTGAATTTGAGTTGAGCCAACTGCGTCAGACCCAAAAACCCTAAGAAGGTCCCGATCAGTTCGAATGCGCAGAGGAAGAGCATCCGTACCGTGGTCTTGTCTTACAAATATTCTACCACTGCTGGTCCACACGAACCGCCAGTTGAAGCGCCCAGCAAGTTCCCGTGTCCGTCGAAACAGGAGACGATTGACCCTTGTCAACCTTTCGTTAACATAGAAACGCTGTGGTGGCCCGGGCAGACCGGTGTCTGATGTGGTGGCATCCCTCCGTACGCGAGCAGCTTTAAGCAGTTGATCACGAAGAACTCTGCGGCCAAGTCGAATAACAATGAGACGGGGACGAGAATGTTTAGACGATGATGACGACGACTCCTGTGGCGCCTGTACTGGACCAACCCGCATGACGCTGACCAGATCCTCGTCAACCAACTTGACACCCAACTTGCTTGCAATAGTCATGACAATGTGAGGCAGACTTTCACCCTTCTGTTCGATAATGCCCGAAATCTCGATGTCGTTTAATAAACACTCTTGGTCTCTATCATTGAGTTCTGTCTTTAATTGTTCTATAGACCCTAAAAGCTTTTCTGTGCTTCTGTCCTCACCTCTCTGAGTGCTTTGACGTTCGAGAGATTCGACACGAGCACTAAGATGATCTATACGCTTATCACACTGGTCCATTCTAGATGTAAGTTTATTAAGAGAATCATTAAGAATGCTCATTTGAGATCGCGTGGCTGCCATCTCCTCTCTGAACAAGCGAGTTTCATGCAATAATGACTGTTCGCTTGAAATCTCTGACGGCCCATTATCCACCACACTATTCTGACCAACCGACGGTAAACTCTCCGGCGAGTCATGAGGCGCCTTGTCCGGACCAACAACAGCAGCCCCACGACGCCGAGTGACATTATCGAGGGCTTCTCGCACGGGCGTGTTTGTGTTATCCGTTTTGCGCAGCTTGCTCATACACAGAACGCACCGCCATGCTGCCTTGTGCTCCGCTGACATGGTGTTGTAGAAGCGCTGTTCCGAAACGTTTGCACAAACAAGGTCGCACTTTTGATGGCATATGCTGCAGCACAACGAGCGCTTGTCGTCGATTTTCTTCAAACAACCCGCACATTTAGCATTTACGGAAGACATATTGTAGGTACTTTAGAGTCGTCACTAAGATATATGAACACTCCAGCAAGAAAAACACCAACACAGCTTGAACTACACTTCCCTACGCACCTTTAATATTGGTAGAATCAAAATATATAGTATTACTAATCAATTACACGATATTTATAATTATAAACATTAAATAACATAGACAATGGTTGGATCCGTGCACTAGAATTTCTACCTCTCTATATATATATATATATATATATATATATATATATATATATATATATATATATATATATATATATATATATATATATATATATATATATATATATATATAAATATATATATATTTTAATGAGTGTAAATACGCCTGCATTATCGGGTTATGCTGGTGGGATACCAGTGACAGATACTGCATGAGGATGGCTGCGAGTCACTTTGACAAATTCAACAAGAATTAACCACAGTGGTCTCCAGGAGAAACCACATGGAGGATATATTGCAAAGAATAGGGTTATTAGACCTCATTACTAACAATCCCTTTCCTCCAATTTTTTTTTTATACAACTTAGAATGGCAAACAAGCTGACGGCCCACATGATGGAAAGTGGTAACCGTCGCCTATAGACATGAGCAGTACCATGGACATAACAGAGTATACTGTTTTGCCCATGATATCCCTCATGCGTTGCCAATCCTAAGGACTAAGGTGTTATTCCTCTGTACCCAGTAAATTCACGCCATATCCCACCCTTCAAACCGAAACACAGCCATGCAAACACAACTGCTTCATGGTTAAAACACGAATGGGACAGAGGTACCCAAGCAATCGACTTTTGTACAAAGTCTCCCTCTGGTAAAATTTCTATATATTAGTCCAATAAAAAATATATCGATTAAATACTTTCTTTTTGTATACTTCTACTTCATTTATAGAAATTGCTAAACTAAGAAAAACAGTGAAATATACCACTTTTAGGTAGCGTGTCAAGATAAAACATGCACCAGAATTTAAGTTAGACTTTCACCAATACAACTGTGAAAACCGCATCCAATTCGGTGCAGTAGCGTTTGTGTAATGTCGGAACAAACTTATAGACAGACAATTTTTTTTTAAATTTCTTAAAGTTGGTTGAAATGAATATAAATTAAAATTAAACTGCAGCAATAGCGGGCGCGTGCTGAAGGTGATGGTGGCGAAGATGCGGCTGGACGACGACTCGGACGAGGAGGCGAGCCCGGCCAAGCGGCCGCCGCGGGACTTCGACGCGCCCAGCCCCAACGGCGCCACCGACGCCGCGCTCATAGTCCTGTACGTACATTGTACCCTAATCATTTTAACCGTTGCAGTTCTATGCAATTCTATGATATTTGTGCCTAAGGTTGGCAACATTGGTAATGAGCCACTATAGTATTTTACGATATTTGTGCCTAAGGTTGGCAACATTGGTAATGAGCCACTATAGTATTTTACGATATTTGTGCTTAAGGTTGGCAACATTGCTAATGACCCGCTGCAGTATTCTATATTTGTGCCTAAGGTGGGCAACATTGTTAATGAACTGCTGTCAAATTCTATGATATTTGTGCCTAAGGTTGGCAACATTGGTAATGAGCCACTGTAGTATTCTATGATATTTGTACCTAAGGTTGGCAACACTGTTATTAAGTTGCTGTAGTATTCTATATTTGTACCTAAGGTTGGCAACATTGCTAATGAGCCGCTGTAGTATTCCATAATATTTGTGCCTAAAGTTGGAGAGAGACTTTGTACAAAAGTCGATTGCTTGGGTATCTCTGTCCCATTCGTGTTTCAACCGTAAAGCAGTTGTGTTTACATGGCTGTTTCGGGTTGAAGGGTGGGATATGGCGTGAATTTACTGGGTACAGAGGAATAACACCTGAGTCCTCAGGAATGGCAACGCATGTGGGGTATCATGGGCGAAACAGTATACTCTGTTACGTCTATGATACTGCTCTTGTCTATAGGCGACGGTTACCACTTTCCGTCAGGTGGGCCGTCAGCTTGTTTGCCATTCTAAGTTGTATAAAAAAAAAATAGCATTGAATTGATTACGTTTATTTCTCCATAACACAGTGTATACTAGCATGAGTAGCAGGCGTTTGTTGTCATTGCATGTTACTTATTATTCATTGAATATTTCAGAGAGCACACGGTGAACACGGAGCGCGGCTCGAGCGGCCGCCAGGTGGCGCGGCGCACGCGGCCTGCAACGGACCGATTGGAAGCTCACAATTTGGGTAACATGCTATTTACTGATATGATAAAATTGTAACTCCACGAAATCTGTATATAGGAGAAGTCTGTACTTTTATATTTACACTAATTTGTAGTATTACTATTTTTTAATGGGTAAAAATTACATGGTGACCCCTCCTGCACTATCTGTATACACTGGCGGGGTTGGTACCCCACCAGTGTATATCCAGTGTCAGTTAGCCCATCGCACAGTGGGAACTCGCCTAAGAAAGCCATCTCATAAATACTTTTTCTAAAACTCTGTGGATATGCATGTATAATACCTCAATTTGTAGCTAAAGAGTTACTCTATCATTATAAGTATGATTCAAATCTATCACTATTCATACTTCATAGAACAGAGCATCTAAAGTCAAGGAATGAAAAAAATACAAAAATAATTATGAAACTTAAATTTCGTTTGGTATAATTTTATAGTATCAAAACAATAGAAGTCATATAGTGTGATACCATTTTAAAATGCTTAGAATGTGTACTTTACTATAAAATAAAAATATATTTAGTTTAGTACAATATTACTTAACCAAAGATCCATATATCGTTATATGTATTATTTTCTTTTCTAAAACTTTCAATTGGAGATTTGACAGTTACCGAAGCTTGCCGAAGTTCTGATTTTGGTTTAATTTATTAGGAAATATAATGTAATTTGAGGGCAAAAGATTTTTTTTGCAGTTTTACTGCGTAATATATTTAAATCTAGTATAATATCATGGTGAGAATGTTTTTTTCTAAGTACGTATATTAAGATTTTTTCTTTATTTGAGATTCTCTGTCTGGACACTCAAAAAAATACTTTTGTCTCAATTATTACTTTATATTTTATCTTTTACGTTACTTTTAACAAGTATTTCACACAGTATTTAGTTCCCATTTCCATACAGACCTATTCTTTACCGCATAACCACATAATGATGAATTTTTTAAATCAAGTAATTTTGCACACGTCTATGATCATTATTAAGTATAAAATAGTGCATTTACATATGAAATATTACAGTTCTTTATAAGCATTTGTCATTTCTAAACAATTGTTAATTACTTATCTCTCCGCAATGAGTGAAGTATCTTGTACCGGACGCGACTTAAGTCTCTTATTGTTGAAAGTGATACAAATTATATTGATTATATTTCAAACTATGTACGAAATAATATTACCGAATCTTCAGATGCGAATATAGCAAAAATTATCGCAAGTATTTAGAAGTCCTTCATAACTCAGTTTCGTCAACGCTATACGAAATGTGGTCGAAAGAAAGAACAGTTTTTAAATCAAAATAGGAATTGGTTTAATGTCATTTTCACTGTAAATCTAGAAAAAACTACATGCGAACCTGAACCTTCTACTTTGACAGAGAAAAGAGGAAGACCTTCTAAAAGATACGATGACAGTTCAGAGAGTACAAAGAAACGGAAAAACAAGGGACTGCTTGATACCTGTGGACTTGATTTCATACTGAACTCATATGTACAGGGTTTAAGGTCACGTGGTGAAGTAGATGAAGCATTCATCGTTGATATTTTACGAGCATGGCCGTCAGAAAAAAAAGAGTAAAATACGCAGTAATCTTCTTAATGAACCGGCACATATAACAACATATTCAAAAGATGAAGATCTTAGCATTTTTGTAGAATTGGATCTGAACAAGGCACAGTATGAAAATATGATGAGTTGTTTGATAGCAAAGAATTGCTTATTGTTTCCATCATACAAGTTGATTCGTGAAGTTACAGAATCTTGCTATCCGCCAAAATCACAAGGTGTTGATTCATTGTGAAAGTGTGATACGTTACTTTTTCTGTCTTGCCTCTTGGGTAACTTTCAGAAGATGCTCAAGAGTCACGGAACAAAGACTATAAACAGTTCAGGCTTCATCATGCAAGACAATGTTCGAGGGTAGCCATTAACGAAGATGTTCTACACGCACTTTTATATACCTCTGACCCATACATAACAAGTTTAAGAAAACCTTCCAATAAAAAATATTTAGAACTTTTTGATGAAGTAAAGGAGCTCTTGAGTGACTTCTAAGTTATCTTTATAAGAGTTTTTGTTTTTTACGCAGATACTTTTACTTATTCCTATATAAACTTCTTAGGACATAAATGTAAGTCTACAAATTTTATATTTCTTGTATTCCTATATTATATATAACTATTAGAAATAAATTTTTACTCACAAAGCATACATTATTTAAAAGAATATATATTTAAGATTATCAGGAAAAAAAAAATCATGTACATATCTTTATTAATACGGAAGATATAGATTTATGAGATGAAAATGAGTCAAAGTTCCCACTGTGCATCGCGACGAATTCAACGATAAATTTGTCACGAGTTTCCAGGGGTAATCGTCTGGAGGTCGACCTGATAGGATATATGGCTAACAAAGAGGCTATTAAACCCCATTAATAATAATCCCTTTCCCCCCGTATTACTACTTGACGAATTTAATATTAATCGGGTAGATTATACAAACATGTCTTTCCCTGTAGCCTAAAACTCCGGTTCTTATTCTGGGTTGGACACCAGATACTTATGGAGTGGGCACGAGACCCACCTCCCCCGTCTAATATATTGGGGGGAAAGGGATTGGTAGTAATTAGGTTAAATAGCCCCATTACTAGCAATATACCTTATCAGGTCGACCTCCACGTGGTTCCCCCTGGAAACCGTCGTGACTAATTCTCGTTAAATTCGTCAGGATGGGCTAATTGACCTGCTTTCATCCTTATCAATCATATATCACTGGTGCCCCGCCAGATGGCGCAGGCGGGGATACCATACCATTATCACCCATTAAAAAAAATACACTTATATTTACCCCCTTCCCTTGTTCATAAGAACGTTAAACCTCTCGTAAACCTATTCTAGCTAAACTGTTTTATCTTTCAATTATATTAAATTCCCAATTTGAAGAAAAGTGGCAAAACAGTTTTATTAAAGTAGATTTATAGATTTAATTTTTTTTATGAATAAGGGGCTTTAACTGTTTCTAAGTATAGGAGGATGCAATAAATTTAATATAGCTACATTATTTTTGTCCACAGATAAACTATCCGGTCGAAACAGACGTACGGATAAAACGGTCGAGCATGAGAATTCCATCGACGAGCAGCCCAGTACTGACCCTGGACACAGCCGACCGGGAAGCACCGACCCCGGGAACAGCGGACCGGGCAGCACGGACCCTGCGCATGACCGACCGAGTAGCGTCGACCCTGGATATAGTAGAGTGGGCAGCGTCGACCTTAGCCAGAGTAGAGCGGGGAGCATCGCCCTTGGACAGAGTCGGGCCGGCAGCGGGGGGCTCGACAGCGACAGCGGCAGCGAACTGCACACCGAAGGCCGCACTCGCCGGCCAAGGAAAGCTGTCACTTATAAAGAGAAGCCATTGAACAGGTAGGATTGACTGTCCCATCATGCAGAATTAATACACTATAGCTTAAGTTTAACTTAAACTAAAATTTCATCCCAACCATCTGGACGAGTGGCGGTGTTCCACCGTGCGTTTTTCAAGGCACTCTCTTCCATGCACAACCACTTAATGGAGTCAACTTCCAGCAGCAGTATTTCCGAACCGATACGACATCATAACCTTCAAGAAAAAAGCATATTCCTTTTTAAAAGGCCGGCAGCACACCTGCAATGCCGCTGGTGTTGCGGGTGAATGATCACCCATGAGGGCGGCGGTAGTCACTTACCATCAGGTGAGCCGCATGCTCGTTTGCTGCCTGTGTTATAAAAAAAAGGTTCTTGTCGTAATAGGTTCCAATCGAATTTACTGAAACTGGTTACATACATATGTATTAAGTTGTAAACGTAGTAGCCATTTTATTTCAAAACTGTTAGCACTCTATGTCAGTTCTTTTTGATTTACTGTCTATGGTAACACATACCTCTTGGAGATTGTTTATATAACCTTTACCTATTTGCCAGAGGGAGACTTTGTACAAAAGTCGTTTACTTGGGTACCTCTCTCCCATTCGTATTTCTATCATGAAGCAGTTGTTGGCATATCTGCCATATGTCGGAGACATGGGTTCGTTTCGCACTCACCACATCTCAGACGGCAGCGACCCGACGACGCTCATCGGCATACGCTGGGCACTCCTCCAGCGTATGCTCCGCCGTGTCCTGGTCCGCTCCACAAGCATGGCACTCCTCCGTCGGCTCCCTGCGCGCGACATGACACAGATATCGCCCAAAGCACCCATGCCCGGACAGTATCTGTGTCATCCTGAAGGTCAGCGGCTTCGCCGCCTATCCATCCACTTCTTAAGAAGTGGACGGATAGCCTCGACGGTCCTTCGGCCGGCCGATGGATCGGCCAGCCGCTGTTCCCACTCCCGCTGCAGGACCCGTCGAATGTGGTACTTCCGCAGCGCAACTTCCAGCCTGGAAGGCTCGGCACCCTGGCGCCTCCGCTCTGCACGCCACTCATAGACCGACGCACAGGCATTGGCCTCCAAGTCCCAGGGCGGCGAGCCCGCCATCACACACGCCGCCTCCGTGGAGATAGTGCGGTATCCGCGTATAATGCGGATTGCCATGGCCCTATGTGGCCTGTTTAAACAAGCCACATTTTGCC